CAAAAGTAGCATAGCTTTCGAGTTGGCCACTGTCACGTATAATTAACTGGTGTATACATATGATGCACGATCCTCGCAGTAGAAAGCGCTATTTATGTAATAGCGAAAATCTTCATATATTCATTGTATCTAACTGGTGTATGTTAACATTTACACAAGACTTACTTTAATTCTATATTTACACTAACCAAGGTATTTAAACACAATTAGTATTGTAAACAAAGAGAATAGAGAAGTGAGTAAATAAGTAAATAAATAAATAAAAATTTAATTAAGTTAAAAGAAGGAGAATTAATTTTTTTATATCTTGAATCAAAAGAACAAAGACTAAGAACAAAGAAACTAAAGTAGACTAAATCAATGCATTCTAAGAAGTAGATTGTGAAGTTAGCAGATATAGCTTGAATTGTTTGGAGAAGCGAAAATAACATAATTTTTATGTATTAGAGGCCTACGGAAGTTAAGGTTAGAAACAAATCTAGTGTAATACACCTACGCTATTATTCTGCTGGATTCTAATGCAGTTGAGAAAGCGCGAGATATGGTTACTGTTGATGTGGTTGGTAAGTGATGCTGTTTCATGAGTTGCTTTGATACACTTTGTCCCGTAATTCATTTCTTGTGATTTGGTTACTGCGTACGCCGGTAACGTAGTTGTGTCTAATTGTATCGTGCCCTTTTCAGAAAGGTCACAATGTAATCTTATTCAACAGCTATCTCTCTCTTTGAGTGAAATAAGGCATTATTCTTTTTCACTGATTGCAGTGTGCGCCGGATCTTGTAATGCACCCAGTGACTCAAATTATTATATAGATTCAGCTAAGCCCAAAAGCGGAGTTTCTGCTACTCACTCTAATCTCGATTAACTATGCTCTAATAGAGTTCCTCACTGGCTGTTCAAGGGTTTAATTTATTTTAGGGAATTTAGGGACTCTACTGTCTCAATGACACGGTTTCCATTGAACACAGTTACAGCCGCTTCTTCGTCTCGTTGCCTTTAGCCGCAACTGATGTAGTCAGTATTTCATGTGATACTAGGAAGGACTGGATTCTGATCGTTGTGTTACATTTCAGTACATTTGATTGTGCCGCTTTAATCGCTGATGAAAATGATAATCCGACCAGCAGTAAGGTTATGTAAATCTGTTCTGACAGTGGAGCGATGTTGTTGATACATGCGCGATTCTGTTCATGCTTTCGCACTAATTCACCTAAAGAAGGACCTCTTGATAATCTACAGCGCAATTTTGTTGCATTATAAAAAGTGTTCAATTAGGTGTTGTGTCAGTAAACTTCAGTGCATACAGCACTGCGTTGTTTAAGAATAGTAATTGGTATTGTTTGTCTCTAATTCATACTATTTACGCGGATGTTTAGCGACTTTAGAAATCACCATTGCTATTAGAATCTACCAGGCTTTAGTGATTGTTTGTTACTCTACATCATGTTATAATACATGTAAGGGATATGTCACACTATTATTGTGTGCCCTGAAGCCTTCCATTTTGCTACTCATGTGTTGCATTGATTTTGTTCCCCGCTGTTATTAACAAGTAGCAATGCGTGTGGCGAAAATCACTCTCGAAGAAGAAAATATAACCAGAAGGCAATATTCTAAATGAGCAAGAAGCGAGAACAAACTCTCACGTGCTTTGTCCGCAAATCTGGCTTCTTACAGAGTCAGCCGTTATCTTCAAAAATACAAGCAAAATAAACGGTTTAGAATAATCGGTTTAGAATAAACGGTTTAGAATAAACGGTTTAGAATAAACGGTTTAGAATAAACAGAATGGACGTGACCAGCATGTGAAAAACGGTAAACAGGGGTAAATTCTTAGAATCTTATTCCGCAAGCGGAATATAAGCTACGTTGTCATGTCAAATCTTTCTTAACACGCCCATGTAGCAGCATTCCACAAAATGGCGGATAATAATAACACACCACCTTTCGCCGTTCACGAAAATGAATTAAGCAAGAGGAATAAAAGAAGAGACCGGTGCAATTTTTCCCAGTTTATGACAAAGAAGATTAGACGTAGGGGATCAAAGAAGACATCTGATTTAAGTACTACAGTCACCACCTCGACTGGTCAAGATGATAATTTTCGAAAATCCTTCTCAGCAGGCGTTGCAACCTAGACCCTTTTTAGATGCTTTGCTGGTGAGTCTTAATTTTGCATCTACTAAAAAATTTTTCGATTCTGTTTTTGTACAATCATTTTAAGTTCTTCTAGCATGTACTCTATAAATTATATATATTCGGGTGTACCACGTGTCAGGAAAAGATCAGGGAAGAAGTCATGGAATTTTATTTTGAGTAATGGGAAGTTGGCATTTTCAAAACAGTAAAGGAAAACTGATGTCTGTAGCAACCAAGATATTTCTAATTCGAAAGACTGGTTTTTTTTTCAAAAATATACAGGAAACTGTTTTGTTCATGAGTTGTGACGAATCACAATGAAAGAAGTATTTTTTTTATTCCTTATTATTTTCTTTTAGGTTGGGCTGAAGCTTATATAATTAATACGTCCTCTTTTCTAACAACGACTTAACATGCACTTTTTAATTTAAAACAGATCTCTTACTATATGTAGGAGTGTAAATTGTAGACCAATTTGAATATTTGCAGTGTTATTTATTCATTTCTAGGATGTTTCTGATGACGAAATCACAGCAGATGGTGAATTACATTCTGCTTCATCCACTGATCCATGATCTCGTGCTACCTCAACTGCATCAGAATTCAGCAGAGTAATAGTGTAGGAGTATTCCTCATTTCGCTCTACGTTCTTCAGTGTTAGTGTCGCTGGGGGTGAGGCCTTGAACTCACTCGTGGAGCTCGGATTTAACGCATCCCCACTTGTGCTTGATGTTATTTGTTTAAGATTATCACTAGTTTTCTTTCTCCAAAACTGAACGAAATAGTTATTTGGTGCATCAGATAACTCCCATTCAAGACTGACTTGCGCGCCGTTCTCTCCTAAAACCACAATGGTAGGACTGGAAGGAGGTGTTCTGCTAATTTTAAATGACTCTGGAAAAGAAGACAGACAAAATTAAACTACATTTCAACACATCACACGTAACTTTAACGCTTCGAGTTTCATTCGTGAGAAAATTTAAGGATGTGTTCGGTATGCTGAATTCTTTTAAGATAGTCGAGGATTTAATCTCAAATAGCAAACCAAGATAACATTTCTATATATAAATATTCTTCACTCGATCTACTAACCTGACTTCGAGGAACAGAGTACATACATACATACATACATACATACATACATACATACATACATACATACAGGGTCAGCGGTCAGCCATGGCGTCCAGTTGTGCATTTTACCGCTCTCTCTTTTTGTGGCTTCTAGCTGCGTACCCTCTGCTTTTTAGGGAAGAAAACACCTTTTCTTGCTTCCTGAGGGCTCCACCATTTCATCATGCAAAGTTTGATGTTTCCAGTGGTGCAACTTCAACACATTACAAGCAATCCTCGCCGTGGATACAAGTCCGCCATTTTGTTACAGTTACTCGTGGAAGATGTTTCCTACACTCAAGGATTCACTACTATGCAAATTCTGATAACTGTTTTCAGCAGACTCGTCTCCTCGTTAGTGGTGATGTTTCCTCTAATCCTGGTCCTCTCAAGAGTGACAAATGTTCCGTTTGCTCCAAGACTGTTGCGCGGAATCACCGAGCTATAAATTGTGACCAATGCAATAAGTGGTACCACATTAAGTGTGGTCATGTCAAGCCAAGGTATTTTGAAGTTCTCCAAAATATGGTTTCCTTTGACTGGGTCTATCCTCCCTGTCTTCAGACAGCGCAAGCTCTCACCGACTCTCGCCCCCGTATTCCCGTTTCCAACGAAACTACGGGCATTGATATTCTTGAAACTCCCATTTTCTTCATTAATCTCTTCACCAATCTTGGATCTTCTTCAGACTGAAGGGCAATTACTTCGGGGAAATTTCTCATTTGAACACAGCGTAGAATTTCATGCTCTGCCTCACGAAGCTCTTCAAGCATAAGGTGATTACCTTTCCTTTCAAACTCTTGCTTGGTTGAAGACCCTTTTCTGCGCTGTACCATCTTGTTCTTAAGCTATCGTTTGTAGCGCAGCAACCATGATACTGCTACCTTGAGTTTCCACCAAGAAGAATAGTACATCATAAGCTCTTCCATAACATCGCGACGCGCTGATGCTACATAGATTTGATTATCCCTTCTAACTTCTGGATCTTCATCTTTAAGGACTGGGATCTCGACCATGCCGGCCAGCATTCTTCTTCCTCCCCTAAGAACTTAGGACCTGTCAGCCAGCGGTCGTTCTTGACCAAGACATCCAGTTTAAGCCTTTTAGATCCATCATCTGCTGGGTTGTATTCTCTGTTCACATAACGCCATTGCTGGGTGTAGATCCATCCTGTATGAATGTCAAACGGTTTGACTCAAAGGTATGAAATATCTTGGTTACGTTGTTAATACACCTCAGTACTGAGGCGGAGTCTGTCCAGTAAATAACCTTGTTCACAGTTAGATCCAACTCATCCCGGATCACGTGGCTGAGTTTTACAGATATACCTGCTGCAGTCAACTCAAGTCTAGGTCTGGAAATTTCTCTGATTGGAGCCAACCGGGCCTTGCCCATGACAAATGAACAGTGCAATCTTCCATCAACGTCCTTCACACGGAAGTATGCAGCAGCTGAATAACCTTGTCGTGAGGAATGTGAAAATAGGTGAAGCTGGATCTCTTTGACCTGTGCTAATCCTTTGGGTTTGAGACATCGGTCAACCGTTACTTTTCTTAATTTGCCAAGGTCATCCAGCCACCTCGTCCACTGTTCATTTTCATTTTCTTCAAGCGGTTCATCCCATCCAATCTTCATTCTGCTTAAAATCTGAAGTATCAGCTTTGCCTTCATGATATAGGGTGCAATAAAGCCCAATGGATCGAGCAAGGAATACACGACAGACACTATATTCCTTCTTGTTACTGGT